TAAATCGCGCTCAAATTTATTTGATTTTGACTCAATATTTACACTGAAGCTCGCAGACGGCTATGGTAAGGGGCATGACATTTCCCCGACCAGGCGCCGAGTGCTGCCAATCACAACACACACTGGCCCAGCTAACCAATCACAGCACATTTCGTATTTCAGAAGGTGGGCCTTCATTGGATACAGGAACTATTCCAGCCGTTCATGCCAGACTGGGGAGAGAGGCGTTGTAATAATGTAAAATATGTGAAAAATTATGTGTTTTTCAAGCAACCTAGTATGAGAGCCTGTTCTAGTACACCCCCAAAACAAAATCAAGACTTTGTAAAAGAGCATAATATGACCCCTTTAATAAGAGATCGGTGTGTCATGACACTGGTTAGAATGATCTAATCTAGTGTAAGCTGATTAGCACAGAGACAGGACTTGAATTAAACAACATGCAGAGATGTCAGTTCAATTTTATTCTCATCTGTACAGGATTATTTTCAAGTGGTTTGAAAACAGAACTGAGTGAAATTTGACACTCTCTGCTTTGTCCTTCTGAAGACAATAGATTTTAAAATTGTGTCAATGTGATATTCTGTCAACTACATTATATTTCTGATGCTACATCTCATCTGACTGAGTGGCTTCTGTTTTTGGATGACATGTTGATTCTCTGGTCCTGTTATCTTTTTCTCACATATCTGTCTCTCTACCTCTCCTTCAACTTCCTGCGAAGTTTACTCACCCTGGACAGTGAAAAGCAAAAGGTGACTGCAAGAATTCGCAGAAAGAGACGGCGGAGGGGAAGGTCAAGGCTGTCCAGGATGGGTTTCCAACGCAAGACTGTACACTAGAAACTGAGAAAGACGCGATGGATCTTGTGTAAATATCATCTGACCACTGACCAAGGTAGTTACAGATGTGTGTGTTTGCATTTATGATGTGCTTTAAATTCTGTATTCTGATATTACTTAGAATAATAACACAACTATATACATAATAACACAACGATGACTTGAGACAAAAGCATGACTTATTTGTAATTTTGTTTTGTTATCAAGTTCAACGTATGATTAAAATAACAATAGACACTCATTTTGAACTGATCTATTCATTTATTCAAAAATACATAAAAAATGCAGTTCTTACGTACAATGACCTGAATATACTCGTGTTATGATGAGTGTAAAAAAATGTCTTATCGAAGTTGTAACATGTATGTTCTACAAGAAAATAAAATTTTAGTTTTTCCACTTGAAACTTTCACATTTCAGTTCAGTGTAGTGCTTGCCATTTCTTGGTAATTATTTGTGAAATTTATTTCAACGTAAACCCTACACCAAATTTTTCATTTTATATGGCAAGATTAGTTCAGGTTGAAAATGTTATTTGGTATGACTCCCCAAAAACCTATCAAATCTATGAATAAACAACTATTTTACCATAAAAATATACTTAAAAGAATTTTGTTTTTAATTAATGATTAATGTGCACACACATATGTACTCAAGGTGTAAGAAAAAATGTCTTATGCATTTTATTTTGCTTCATGGTTATATGTCACATTATAACATATTATATTCATTACATTTACATTTTCGCTGAAAATGGTAAACCAATTTCATATAAAACAACATGAACACAAAGACTGCATTACATATTCTGACCTAGTCCTTTGTCCTTTGCTTTATTTTGGATTCTGTTATATTTCATTTGCCCAAAAATAAGTTTATGATATTGTCCTGTAAAATAATTTGCTGTATTTAACATGATCTGTTATGTACTGTAATATAAATAGTGTCTAAATACATCACACTGCCAAACACATCATAAAATGAGAAGGAAAGGTGAATACATGTCAGGTGTCTCTTGTCCAGTGAATTATGTTGGGTCCATTTCATAAGTTTGTTGTTTCACACACGGCCACCTAGTGAACACACGAAAGAAAAATTCAAATGAATAGACAGGAAGCATAGTTTAGTAAACTTTAGTAAGATGAATACCTACCACAGTTATACAATATGTTTATTTTGTGAATGTCCGTCAGACTTGGTCCGTCTCGCTGGCCAATGGGAGTGTACGGGTCTGGTTTAGGGATGATGGTGGGTCCACCATCCTCTGAGAAGGCATACCTGGGTGTGTGCATCAGTATTCATTTAACTTCAAATTATTTGCTATTGTTTTTTATTGCTTCATTTATAAGAAACGAAATTCTTGGGTTTAAGGGACTGTTTAAACAGATATAGGCTACATGCATTTCAGATTGTCCACTAATAGCTTAGCAGAAGTATGCACACTGTCCAGTAGATTGCCAATACTCACCTCCCATAGTGCATGACAGAACTATAGTCATATGCAGTATTGAGGTTGTTTGTCTCATACTTCTTAAAGTTGTGCCTTTGATCTAGGAAAAGAACCATGCATTACTGTCGTACTGAATGCATTGACTCAAAGTAAGTGCTGGTGTCAAACGCTTACTCTCTATGATGTTTTCCCACAGGATGGAGACGTGGTGGTCACGATCAGAGCGAGACTGTTCGTGTACAAATCCCAGAGCATGCATTAGTTCATGAGCTGCCACTCCTGACCACATACAGCCCGGAGACTGCAAAGACACGGTCTGACTGCCTCCTATCATTCCCAGATATGACCAGCAGCTATGGGGTCGACAGTGGACAACAATAATAATAATTAAAAAAATAAATAAAATTGCATACTGTTCAAAGTTTGGGGTCAGTACAATTTTTTAAGTTTTTTTTTGCTCACTAAGGCTCCATTTATTTGATCAAAAACAAAAAATATTGTGAATTATTATTGTTATTTAAAATAGCTGTTTTCTATTTTAATATATTATCAAATGTTGTTTATTCTTGTGATGTTAAAGCTGAATTTTCAGCATCATTGCTCCAGTCTTCAGTTTACATGATCCTTCAGAAATCATTCTAATATGCTGATTTGAAATGAGCTCAAGAAACATTTCTTATTTTTTTCAATGTTAAAAACAGATATGTTGCTTAATATTTTTGTGGAAACTATGATACATTTTTTTCAGGATTCTTTGATAAATACAAAGAACAGCAGAACAGCATTTTATACATTTTAAAAATGTCTTTACTTTAACTTTTAATCAATTTATTGGATCCTTGCTTAATAAAAGTATTAATTTCTTGAGAGAAAGAAAGAAAAAGAAAGAAAGTTTACTGCTCCCAAACTTTTGTATGGTAGTGTATATATATATATATATATATATATAATTTCATTAAAAAAATTATCATAAACAATTAATAATGACACATTAAAGAAATAACAGATACAGTGAGTTTTTCAAAATTATGATCAGACTTTTTATATTGTCCTGTAAAATATTAAACATTAAAGAGAACACTAATATAATATGGCTGTATATGAATGCAAAGGACTCACCCGATTTTAGACTGGATATTAAGGAAGTTTGCTTCATGTGTGCGAGGCACAAACTTCACACATGTTGCAGAGGAAATGTCCAACATTCCTGTTTCTACGGTGATTCTGTCCATATCATCTGTCGAGACACCAAATGATATAAATGTGTTATTTAATAATAAAGACCTTGACTTATCTTTCACTTATAACATCATGCAGTTTCATAGATCTTACTCACCATATATTGGAGAGATGATGTATGGTACATACACAAAACCATCAACAGATCTGGGCCAGCGGCAAGAATCTCCTAAACATGTGATGACACTGCGGGATCCTGAACTCAGGATGTCACCCTCTCTTAAAGGAAAACCTCTGGACACTGTCGGAGTAAGATAACCACATGTTTCATGCTCAAAGAGTAATTCCCTGTAAATATATGTCTGTATCTGTCCCGCACATACGTTGATTTACTCTGAGGATCCTGTCCATGGCATTCATGTCCTCAGGTTTCACATAATGCTCTGTTAAAGAGATTAAGAATGGGATATTCACATCAATATATTGTAACAACCTACATTGGAATACCATGAAATACCAGTTTACCAGGATATTCTCTCTTTGACCTCAGCCTTGTCTGATGAACCAGTGAGGAGTTCTAATACAAAATAAATACATTTATGGGGCATCCATTGGATATGAATACTATCATCATAACTGCAGTAGTATTCAGTCGTTCTTACCTGCACAGGTAAAGACCAGGACTCTAACACCAGTCCCACAAAAATACCCACATAAAGCATCTTGGTGGTCATGTATGTGTAAGTCCTGGTGTTCTGGATGGAATCGAGTATTGCATGTAAACTAAAGTTAGGGCCCTTGCAGCTAGACTATATATACTCTGAGAACCACCCATCTTTACTCTAGGTTGCAGATGGAGGGTTAGCGTGACGTCCTATGTCATTATTTGATATTCGTGTGTTTCCTTAATGAACGGTTTGGGAAGCATTCATTGGAAAGACAGTTCAGCATTTTTAAGACTGATCACAATAATGGCAATTTAAAGTCTTGCTGATTCTTGTGTTATTCGCCCTGACCATGCGAAACTTGTGCGTGTAGTGTTCAAACTCATTTTAATCTGTAAACAAAATCTCAATAGGCATTTGTGCTGTGTTCACAATATGCTGCAGCAACACGTGATGCAAATAAATAACGCCTCGCCCTTTCTTTAACTTATCATTTTTGCATTACGCCAAATAACAGGTTATTTTAAATTCAGCTTGCGTAATTCATAGTGTTGACACCTCAGTACTTATTCATTAGCTCTGAGATCAGCTGATTCTGAACATTTATAAACCAACAGTTTGGCTTATTTGATTGCAACTGGCTCATGGAGAATTCTTTTGCAATGAAATGAAAGCTTAAATGAAATATCAGAGAAAAATATATTTACGGACAATGTTTTATTGATGTAATGTTTGTATAAGGCATCAAGATGTCAAAATCAGCATAAGAAAGAATATAGAAATATCAGAAACAGCAGGTTACAAAAGAACATTCTTATATTTGATTAGCAATTTTTAAATCAGCAATCTTCACAATCAGCCATTTTCCTTTAAAAAAAATATGATGTTAAAATGTTAAAAGAAGTAAAAGCACTAATGCATTAATGTCAGACTTTTAGCCGTGCAATGGATCATTCATTACTGTAAATGGATTTCATTATGCATTACATTTATACATTCTATTAATCTTCATTATATCCAAGTCGCTGGGTCCAAATCTCTGTCCAATCTTCACGTTCCAGTTTCTTTTTGGTACAATAGTAGGTTCACCATCCTCAGAGAAGGCATACCTGAAATGACAAAGAATATCATTATATAACTACAGTTGATTATATCCCTCAGTTACCATTTCAAATGTATATCGACATACTTTCCAAAGTGCATGATAGAGCCGTAGTCGTAGGGGGTGTCCAGGTTGTTTGTTTTAAACTTTTCAAAATTCCTCAGCCGGTCTGTTTTAATGAACAGAAGAATAAGTGAGCGATAAAATGACTTTTAAGTATAAGGCTATGAGAATAAAGGACTGTTACTTTACCATTCCATATATTGGACCACATGATGGTGACATACTTGTCCCGGTCAGCTCGGGATTGTTCGTGAACAAAGCCCAGAGCGTGCATTAGCTCATGGACGGTGACCCCTGACCCGGTGCACTCAGGTGTCTGGAGAGAAATGGTCTGTCTACCACCACGTGCTCCCAGATATGACCAGCACCTACAGTATCAGCCATCAAAAATCAGGAGATACACTCAGAATGAAGCCGTTGAAGAGTAATCTCATGTCAATACCCTGTTTTGGGCTGAATATCCAGGTAGTCCCTCTGGTGAGTTCTGGGCACGAAGCGCACACACGTATCATGTTCAATGAGCTTCATGCCTTTCTTAATGTTCTCCACGTCTTCCTCACCTGTGCAGAAGAACAATCAAAACCAAATAATGAGATTTAGTAAGTGATTACTGTGGCACTGTTTATGAAAATCAATGTGTTTGCTTTTCCCTGCTTACTGTACGCATGAGACACTGAGTATGCGATGTACACTTTTCCATCTACAGATCTGGTCCACAGGCAGCTTCTGGCAAAACAGTTCTTCTGACTCCTACTGGACACGGCTATATCTCCTTCTCTGAGGTTGGTGCCATCTACAGAAATGACACCTGCAAGAGAATAATGGTTCTTAATTGGCATCTGTGGTTCCATGAAAACGTTTTAACATCCATGGAAACTTTCCATTGCACAAAATGGTCTTTATAGTGGAAAACAGTTGTTCTTCACACTAAGAAATATAGTGGAACTGTTCACTGAAAGGTTCTTTATGGAAACTAAGATTGTTGTTCGATGGAATCGCTGTGAAAACTTTATTTTTAAGACTGTATGGATATTACAATAGCGAGGTTAGAACATTTACATTTTACAGGCTTGTGCAAAAGCTTTACCTTGATAGTCGTTCACATCTATGATCCTTTCCATTGCAATTGGAGTGTTTTCTTCGATATCATCTGGAGAAAGTTATAAAACTGTTCAAATATAATTAATCTTCAATGAATAATGACAATTAATACAACACACTTTACCAGAGAAGCTTCTCCTTTGTCTTCTTGCTCCAAAATTTGACTGAGAGGAAATCTGCGAGAAAAATTGACCAAAATATGTGGTTTTGCTTGATAAAAAAACAAAATATACACTTGCTGATATGCAGTTACCTGACCAGGCAGGGACAAACATGGTCCTGCTAAGAAGAAGAGCAGTATGAAAACCAGTGTGTACTCCATGAGTGCACTGAGATGTGCTGTCTAAGTTCATGTTGCCTGCCTTTTAAGGGCTCTTTACTAGCTTCCTGTTACATAATGTGTGCTCTCAGGGGCCAACCAAATGTTTGTTTTTCTTCTTTACGCTGTTTTTAGTTGCCACATGCACTTGCACATATTTAACTACTATTTTCATTGTATTATAGCGGTGTTTTTATTTAGTTCATAAAAGATTTACGCCCGAACAGGGACTTGAACCCTGGACCCTCAGATTAAAAGTCTGATGCTCTACCGACTGAGCTATCCGGGCTCTGAGACGCACAGATTCAGGCGGAGATGAAAAAAGTTCGGTGTGAAGTTTTTCCAACATTCTATTAAATTAAAAGTTGCTTCAGACGTTTCGCCGTAAACGGAGGCCGTTTCAATTATTGTTCATGTTTGCATGTTTTTTCCGCATTGCTATCATTCTTATGATCCGTTATTTACTTGTATCAGTCTGGTAAGTAAAATCATGTTTAGTTTTAATTCAACAGAATATATGTAGAATCCAATATAAAATAAAACTATGTGGAGTCATTTAGTTTGAACGTCTTCCAATCAGATTGTTCTCTCGGTCATTTAATGAATTGCAGTTTGTGCGATGTAGAGGTGTCTTTTGCTCATCAAACAGTAAAGTCGGTCTGTGTACAAGAAATCGTTCAGCTTTACCGTTATGGAGACCCCACAAAACTCTTTAAACATCACCTTTCAGGACGATAAAGAAATACAGGTGAGACTCGCGGCCAAACATTAGCAAACCAAATATGCTAAGCTTCATATGAGTTTGACTGACTCGAGCTTTGTTTTTTCGCTGTCAGGATTTGTCAAAACAACTCAAGGATGCCAAAACTGAACTACAGCTTACTAAAGACGAGGTGGAGCAAGTAAACAAAGTTGTTAACAAATGGTAATTAATACTTATACTATTATTATCTGTCTGAAATGAAGATTCAGCATGTGCGAGTTACTTGGACGTAAACGTAGTAGGGAAATCATTGGATGCCATCATTTTACCTCAGGAACTAAAAACAAAAGAACCAAAGTTGAATAATGTAGCCTACAAAACAACTTATATATATATATATATATATATATATATATATATATAAGTTGTTTTGTAGGCTACATTATTCAACTTTGGTTCTTTTGTTTTTAGTTCCTGAGGTAAAATGATGGCATCCAATGATTTCCCTACTACGTTTACGTCCAAGTAACTCGCACATGCTGAATCTTCATTTCAGACAGATAATAATAGTATAAGTATTAATTACCAAAAAAAGAATAAAGTAGCCCACAAAAAAAAATATATATATATATATATATATATATATATATATATATAAAAAAATTTTTAACTAATGTAATTATTTAGCTACATGCATCAGGGTTTTAGGTGGCCTTTCTATTACAGATAACAGCTTCTATTAAAAGGGTCATATGATGCTTTTTTAAAGATCATTATTTTGTGTGTTTGGTGTAACAGAATATGTCCGGTTGTCCATAAAATGCATTGTTGTTCTGTTGTAAGTTTCGGAAGGGCAAATAAAGTCCTTTTGCTTTCGCCTAGAAACACACAGCGTCTCCCTGACATGCTGCTTCAACACTAACTGCGGTTACTGAAACCACCCTTCTTTCTTTGCGTGAACATTTGGGCGGCATTATGCAAATATTTCCACATAGTGAGGTAGATATGTGGGGGCGTGTTAGAACGAGCTGTTTTAGGGGGGCGTGGCAGAGTCTTAACTTTGATAAAGAATATCTCTTTGGTTTTGAGACCTTAGTCTTTGCAACTTCAGGGATCTTATCTATGCACAATCAGCTTGTAACACTCCAAAGAGAAAGGAAAACTTGAAATCGCATCATATGACCCCTTTAATATTATTGTAGCAGAGAGGAGATGGACCGGAGGATGATGATGATGGTCCAGATGGATGAAGGCCTGTGGAATGCATTGCTTGAACTGGACACTCTGATGCAGGAGAAGAAAAGCCTTGCCAACCAGCTAGAAGAATTAACTTTATCTAGGTATGACTATCCAGATAAACTACCACCTGTCTGTGGTTCTATCCTACCAAAATATGTTGTCTTATTGCTTGTTTTTCCTAGAATCTAATTTGTGGCTTTAGATATTCTACTGAATAATTAAACCCAACAAAATCACTATATACGATTTTGTACGATTGTAAAAGGAGCTGTTTTCTCATTTACTTTCTTCTTTCAATATTAAACCAAAAAAACAAATGATCGGATGAAACACACGGACCTATAGTGAATGGTGAAAATGACAGTTCTGGAGATTTAATTTTCATCCGTTTCCAAGAATTTAGATAAAGACTTTGCCCATATTATATTTTAAACTGGGAGTTTGTTATAATTCTTTTATTTCATAATTCAAGCATGGATTTTTCAAGGCTGTTTTGTTACAGTACCATCGAGTCGAAGCAAGCTCTTCTGAGAAGTTTGCAGGAGGAGGAAAGCAGCCTGCTGGAGCAGGAGTGTGATCTGAAGCTCAAACGTGAGCAGCTGAGGAAAGCACTGGTGAATGCTTCTGCAAACTCAGAGGAAGGTACAGCAATAACCTCTATTGCAGTCTAGGTACTGGCCATGCAGAATAATGCTGTTTGATATTCAACTGGTCTCAATTCGCAGTTTCACAGGGTGAGAATCCAGTTAAACCAGGCTCATCCAGCCAGAGTAAGTCTACAGAAAAGCCAGTGAGAAAAAGAGGAACACGGAAGTAATCACAACATCAAAAAATGCTACTTTTTTAATATATATATATATATATATTTAGTACAACTAAGCTGCAATAAACGTGGAAAATATGGTGATTTTTGTGTATTTTTTTTATTTGATACAAGAATTGAAATGTTCATTGGCAGTCACTATACTGAATAAAGTGTAAAGATTCAAAAGACTGACCTCTGGCAATGATAAACTCAAACAGATGTGCTTAAGTTTTCAAACTTTAACCTGGAGGCACTCCTCCAGGGTGAAATTCAAAGATAATGTAAAAAAACTAAAATATGTTAAAGGCATCATACATTTTTTTTTTAAATCATGGTGTTATGTAATTTCTTTCTTCTGTAAAACTTTGGGATAGTATTTTTTGTGCGTGAAGAACCATATGCAAATACATTTGAAAACGGAATACATCTAACTTAACTCTAATGGCGGATAGAAAAAGATATGCTGCCAGTTTAATAAATATTCCACAGATAATAGATTATTTTGGCTTTTGTTCAATTGAGAATTAATGCTCTCTTTAAAATAAACACTTACTGTTTTTTTCTCACACAGTTATTTACATGAAAAAAAAAAATCTATTTGAAGAAAAAGGGATACAATTACAAGGATACATCATGTTTGGAAGTCTTTGGCATCAAGAGTCTTGGCAACAGAACAAAATCGCGCTGTAGTTTTTGGACACTTGTCGGCCACCGTAGAGCACAAACACGTGTGTAATGAAATATGATTCATTTCAGCTTACGCGGACTGAACATATAAATTAAAACCATAAGGGACCGATGCTTTTGCCAAAAAGGTAAATATATACATTAACAGTGATCACTGATAGTTAAATGAGCTGAATTATAGCGTTAGCACAGCGTTTTATCTTTGCAATGCACGTGCTGAATCAGGCGTTACTCTTGTAGGGAAGCAGCTGTCCGATTGAGAAAAATATGGACATTGCTTTGGTTTTATCGGCAGTCCCGATACTGAATGTTTAGTGTATTTGAGTAAAGTTCACATTTTTGTTCTTCCGTGTGTAAAACTCCCGCTGTACTCGTGTGTCTAGGTGATCGCGCTGGTTTGTTTTGTCGACGGAGTCATGGCTTCTCCGGAGCAGCGGTGTGTGTTCTCGCTGTGTGCGGATGAGACGGTGACCGCTGGGCTGAGAGAGGTGTCTGGACTGCTGGGTCATCCCGAACCTCCCCAGCGCTCTGCTAACACGTCCAGTGAGGGTAAGTTAAGAGAGCCAGACTGACTGCTCTACTGAGAGAGCACACGGCTGCTGATCGGGTGTTTATAACACACTCTCTTCATAACCCTGACAGATGTTGGCTCAATGAAAACTGCATCCGCCGTTGAGGTGTCCGACAAGATGTTCTGCTCGGCCTGTCGGTGTCATTTTGAGAGTCGAGAGGAGCAGGTATGAGTAATTGATTACAGTGCTGATACGATCAATTAAAGTATGGGTTTGTAGTAAAACCTTTAACCCTAAAGGTTTTAAATGTCTAAAAGGTGTTAAATGTCTGCAGTTTAATTAGTTTCTTGCGTAAACTTTCTTATAAGTGTGCTAATGCCTGATCTCTTCTTCCACAGCGTGGCCTAGTACCTATTTTTCGCCATTAATTGATCTAATATGAATTTTTAAAAAGTGTTTGAGTTATAAATTATTAGAGGTATAAGCCATGAACCAAACCAACCAGCTAAGAGGTGAATTGCAGCATTATACAAACTTTGATTTAAAGTAAGAAGGTATTTGAAAATAGACAAAAGACTGTGTACTTAACAGCTTTAATATGGAAAGAAAAGGGTATGATCCACTGATCTATAATATATAGATCAGTGGTATAATCACAAAGATATCATCATATTTGTTTTTTCATATTGTTGTTGCTATTCAAATATGATTATTTCAAAAATAAGGTATGCACACTGATAGCTTCGACAAAAGCATATACCTTTTAGACATTTATTTGCATACTGAATCGCGAATGGTCACGAATTTTCCCAACCCTCATGTCGTTCCAAACTCGTATGATTTTCTTTCATACAACTTTGGAATGACATGGGAAATGACAAACTACTACTGTGCTGGTCTTCTGAAGGCATGTTATAGCTGTGTATGAGGGATGGAAATAAATGTAATATGTATGTTAATGCAGTCCCAGTCTTTTATCAGATGGAGCATTACAAACTTGACTGGCACCGCTTCAACCTGAGACAGCGGCTGGAAGGAAGATCAGTGGTCACAGTGGAGGAGTTTGAGAAGAAGACTGGCACAGGTAGAGTCATGTATGCTCATATGACTTTACTGACAAACCGTTTTGTGCCATCCAGTTTGCATAAGTGTGATTTTAGCGTAATCTTCCTGTCTGCCTTCCTGTTAACAGGTGACATTTCAAGCATTTCGGGTTCAGACTCAGACAGTGAGGATGGGGATCTTGGAGATGAAGTGGGCCCTGAAGAGACAGAGAGTGCTCTGGACACAGATCAGTCCACATGTCGACTTTCTACCAAAGCAGTCTTTCAAAACATGCAGGGACAGTTCCTGTCATTGTATCGCTGTGTTCTGCAAAACAAAAAGGTGAGTAAATCTATCCATCATTTCTCTGACTTGTTAGTCTGTGCCTAATTGACACGAGCATTGGCTAAGAAGAATCCCCATTCAACAGATTATTTTCAGAGACATTTTATTGTTTGAAGCAGTTTCGTAGAAATAGGAGAGAAGAGATCAGGATCAGAATAGGAACTTAAGCTGGGTTTTCCTGTTTGGTGTGATATTTAAAGCCTCTTTAGTCCTATTTAGCTACTTGTTAGCAGCAACCACCTTTTTCAAGACACGGAAAAGCTTCAAAAACCACAATTGAGTATCATAGAATGAGATGGGAAAACATCTTGAGCTTGTGTTAAGCATACAGACCTTATTTAAGGCAGTTAAACTAAAACACGGCCAAAAGACCCACTGACTTTAGGACGATAGAACCAGAAGTTCAAAAATGCTAAGTCATTTCCAGGTTTTAGGAGTCGTTCCTGCAGCACTTTCTTCTTTCAGTCTCATCTGATTCTGTTGTCATGTTCAAACTCAGGACAATGAAGAAGACTTGGTTTCCTCTTTACTGAAAATATCAAACAACACTATTTGGGTCATTCTGATGACTGGCGGTGGACACTTTGCTGGAGCGGTTTTTAAGGGGTCAGTGAAAAGTTCAGAAGTTTGTCTATAACTACAAATATTTGAATTAATTGCTTAATAATTAGGTAAGTAAATGCTATTCCCTAATTGATTGATCTATTACATAGAAAAGAGATTGTGCAGCATAAGACGTTTCATCGGTACACGGTGAGAGCGAAGCGAGGGACTGCACAGGGACTGAGGGACTCTCAGAACCGCAGCCACGCTCCTAAATCTGCAGGGGCGGCCCTCAGACGTTACAACGAGGCAGCGCTGCACAAGGTCAATTTCAACCCTTTGTTATATATAAAAAGTTGAATAACACTAACCTGCATAGAATTTATACGTTTGGAATTGTTATTGATGTATACGCCCTTTTTTTAACCAGGATATTCACGATCTTCTAGAAAGCTGGGCTGAGTATTTGAAGGAGGCAAGTGCCATCTTCCTGCGAGCACAGAGTTACAATAAGACCATATTTCTTGGAGGTCGTGGAGCACCACTGGACAAAAAAGATCAGAGAGTCCGGGTACTTCCTTTTGCCACCCGTAGAGCAACATTTAGCGAAATACAGCGCGTTTTTGATCTCCTTTCAACTCTACATGTTTATCGTAAGTTGAGATTTGCTGCCATGCAATATATATATGTATTTTATATATGTTAATTTCTTTCCTTTAATATGATCGTCTGTTACATTCCAGAAAAGGACACTGAAATCTCTAGTATTTTCAGTCTTTCAAAGAGAGTGTGGAAGAAGAAAACTCCTAAACCTGTTAGTCATCCAGTCCCAAACATCAATGGTGCGTCTGAACCCTGACTTTGTCCTACATACGGTGCTCGTGAAAATATACTTATTAAAGGGCTGTTTTGTGGTCAGTGCCTACAGAGGGAGAAGAGGGTAAAGAAGAAAGTTCAGAGGAGGAAGACTCAGGAATGCTAGAGACAGTGGAGGAGACACTGGGAACTCTGGACCTCAGAGAACATGAGGTGCATCTTAATAAGAAGAAAAGGAGGATTTCTGAAAGATCATGTGATACTGAAGACTAGAGAAAATTCAACTTTGACATCCAAGGAATAAGTTACACTTTAAAATATATTCAAATACCAGTTATTTAAATTTATTTATTTTTTTTCAATATATCTTTTCAGAAGAAGTGGATGAGTCTTGGGAATATAGTTTAAGGGACGCTCTCTACACCGCCTGTAAAACGGGGGACATCCAATCATTACTCACCCTCCTGCAACTACCAGAGGACCAGGAAGAGGAAAAGGATAGAGAAGAGAAGAACACCACCTCGAGGGTTTCATGTCTTCTCAACAAGCCCATAGACTCAGCAGGCTTTACTTTACTGCATGTGGCATCAGCAGCTGGACAGAAATCAGTCATCAGTCTGTTAATGGATGAAGGGAGTGATCCAGCTAACAAGTATGCACATACAGAATCATTCTAATAATCAATTGGCAGCAGCAGGTTTTCATGTGGCCGGATGGGTTGTTCGGTTCTAAATAGTGGTCAATGTCTTTTTTAGGGATAAGAAAGGACAGACTCCATATGGCGTTGCTCCTGAAAAAGATACCCGCGACACATTTAGAAAATACATGGCTGAACACCCTCATAAGTATGACTACACTAAAGCACAGGTAGACAAATCTATCTTATGATGACTAGCAACACCACAAATAGTAACAAAATCTTCATTTGCTTAGAGACCACAAATAAAAATGATCCTAATTTTCACTTTAAAACAAATTTGATTTTAATACATATTAAAGACGATTTTAAAATGAGATAATGAAGATAAAACTAGTGGTCTCAGACCTGCACTATATATAAAGGTTTAATAATTTATGACATGTTATTATTGTATATAACATTTTCATAACATTAAAAAAAAAAAAATCAGGTTTATTATTATTTTTTACTTTTGTATGTACAGCTGCATTGTCTTTGCAACCCAAAGTAATAAATCTGTCACTTATTCCTGTATTTTCTTTGCTTTAATATGTTTAAGGTGCCTGGACCACTGACTGAAGAAATTGAGTCCAAAAAGGCAGAGAAGAAGAAAGCCCAAAAAGCAGCACGGAAACAGAGAGAGAAAGAGCAAAAAGAAGAGAAACTTAAGAAGCAGCAAGAAGAGGAGGAAAAGAGGAGGTTCATAGCTCTTAGTGACCGAGAGAAGGTGACTACTTAATTTCTTCCTCTTATTGTAGTTCTCATGTGGATGACCTATTGTGATTGGCCGATTATGTCATATTTCTGATGTCACACAGCGAGCTCTGGCTGCGGAGAGGAGATTGGCTGAACATATGGCCACAACTGGAGTGTCACTCACTACCATCAGGTATTACCTTTTATTATTTAATAATATCTCTATGGAGAAATATCTGTCCTTTATGCAAGTCATCATTAAAGTTAATCTAAAAATAAGTTTTGTAATAACTAGCATAAAAATGTTTTTAAAGGAGATGCTTTCAGTGTGGAGAGTCATTACTGGGGAAGATTCCTTTTGAATATCTGGACTACTCTTTCTGTTCGCCTCGCTGTGTCCAAGCCCACCGCAAAGCCAATGCAGCCGCCCGGCCCTGACCTCTCACATCCTACCACACAGCATTAGAGGACGTGAAGGTGTGGTGCCATATTGTGGACATATTTCATTTTACATGATCTGGGAGTTGACTGGATTTTACAAGAAACATATCAAGGATTTCACAGTTATCTTTGAAATGACAAGACTATGATAGATTACCTGAAATCAGAGAAGAGAATTATTAATAAGATTGATTCACACAAATCTTAAATATATCTGTAATTTAACATGGCTACTCTGATATTGTATTACTTTTCAACTCAAATCAGGACACAGACCAACCACTGTGATTCAAAAAAAGTTCTATATCTTCATGAGATAATAGCTCATTAAAAGTCATAGTTAATTCAGAACTGTAAAGTAAAATCATGGCGTGTTTTATGTTTTACAATGTAAAACACACATTTTTGGTAAAAATGTTGTTGAAGTTTATTCTTTTACATTGTTTGGCAGCTGCTGCAGTTTTAGATTGTACAAATACAGTTGAAATCATCATTGATATGATTCTTTTGGTGTAATACTGTTTCCAAACTAGCATGATTTATGATAAAGAAAAAAGGTATATGTTTGACAGCACAGAATGCTACAGTCACTGAAATTAAGACAAGGATCACTGTTTTTTTTTTTACATCTATTATTCATTTATTACTTGCTTAATTTATTTCCAAGTGACTAGATGCATTTATATTATTCCAGATATTTTACATCATGACTGTCCCCCTCAAAAACGTTGAATATGGAGTTATGACACTGAGATTTAAATCATCTTCTTTTAAAGCAGATAAACTTTAATGCACATCAAGGTCTTGACTTCTTAGATTTGTCAGAGTACGAAAATTAACCTCAGCACCTTGGTGTGGAAAAACTTTAGCATTTTTACCATTTCTAAAGCAATAAACTGACCAGTAAATTGGGCAAATGTGGCAAAAATTACAGTGTTATGCATTATAATGGCTGTATTTCTGTTATACTTGATAGATTTGAGCAGAGATGATGGAGCTATACTGAAACTGGTTATCACTGTTAGAGTATATGATCATGTCTTCTGTCCAGTGTTGTTCAGCTGAGGCCGGTCCATAAACAGGATTCTTCTGTGTGAAGGAGCTCTTTCCAGCTCCAGCACTGTGATGTTGTTTGGTTGAGTGGCACTAAGAAAAGGTCCAGGAACATAGAGCGTCTGTTGGGGGCCCCTCTGGGGCCAATACCTTCCCAGGTTCACCTCATTTACCCACACCTGACCCTAAAAGAGAAAAACTGAATTACACAACACTGCCATGTAGTTACTCAAGATAACAAATACTAGATATTCTTCATAATACAAAAAATACGCCTTACCTTAGTCCATCCATTAAGTTTTACAAAAGTGTCCCATGCGAGGCCTGTAGACTTCAAGGTTCCTGAGTAGATCATTGGTCCGTCTCCTGCTTCCATCGCTGACCCTGAGTGAGCCGCCTGCAGCCAGCCATTGGCTACGGCAGTGTCAATGTCCAGTGGATAGATTGACCAATCAGTGAGAACATCATTGCCCAAAATGAGGTTACCCAAGAGACCCTGAAAAGGGGGTTTTATATACTTCGTTAATTGAATTTTCTCAGTTGGTTTAGGGAATATTAGCTAATCTTGCCATATTTCGTTAACTTGCCTTTTTATCATTGATATAACTGCCAAAATTGATCCTGCCCATGTTCTCCACGAGTATGTCCAACTGATCCCCTTGTTGTCCTGTAACGTTCATGACCAGTGCAGTGTCCCTCTCCATAAGCCCCTGGTACACCTGCTCACAGACAAGTTTCAATCTAAACCATCTTTTCTGCCAAACATCTGCCTTTCAAACAAAACCATGGTTAAGATGAGTTTTAAGTGTAGGCCCTAAATAAACAGTTAAACATGAATATATACAAGTCGGCATATTGGTTAATCTTTCTCCATTTGATTATGTAAACTGAAGTGATCAGCAGTTTGGTTTTGTGAAGATAATTTTTTATTTTGTCTTGACGGTGCACTCAGTAGCTGTGTTCTAAATTGGCAGGGTCCCAATGCAGTGTTCACTGCTTCCTGAGCACAGGATATCAGTAGAAGTGCACTTGACAGTGCGCTCAATCAGAACATCAACAATCATAAAATGTGAGTTGCGCACATTATAAGAGTATGAGGTATGAAGGCATGATATACTTTTATTTAATATTCTGTACCTATGTATAAAAAAGGGTTTTTATATTTAACTACAACTAAACTCATGAAAACGTACTTAAACGTTAACTGAAATAAAATAAAATATTAAAAAACTTTCACCTAGTTGCCAAAACAGTTTCTATTTTTTTGTTTAACTTAATGTACTAAAATAAATACAACTGAAATCAAATTAATACAAATTATATAGACTGTTAAAAACAATAAAAAGTTTAAAACCAACACAATTAAAATTACAATGAAAACCAAAATAAATAATTAAAAACTCATTAAGAAATTAACATGATAGATTTATTTAATTCGATTCAATACATAAAATACATTAACACTTTTTTTTTTTAAATGTTAAATATAACTCATATTTGAAAGTGTTAAACTGAGTAATGTCGGGTTGTCATGTTTAATAGCAAAATAAACATAATTTGGTTATATTACGTGTGTGTGTATTTTATCCTATTTAGCCATAATCATGATAATTATAGTCAATAAAAATGCTACAACCTCAACTCATTTTCACAGAGTTTTTTTTATTTAAACTTGCACTAGTGACTGAAGGGTAAATTTCCTCCATATCCTGTGAAGATGTATTGGTGTTCTGTTATTCCCTATGCTGTCTGCAGTGCCCTTTGAACTGAACATACATTTCCTTCAGACTGGAATGGCACTTAATATGGCAGAATTCCCTGTGAAGTCCACTTTGCACGGCACTTTTGGTCAACTGGAAAGCACCTAGTAATTTTTTTTGTTTGTTTTACTGCCTCATCTTCATCACAATGTGTTTATGTACTTTATACTCTACAATTCCTATTCCTGATAAGTCTTCATCACATGTGAGTGTACCTCATTTTAAACCTATATTTTCAAAATGATGAGCAGTGGGAAATAGTGGTTTTACACACAGTTATAGTGTCTGTCTAACCATGGTGAGAACAAAACATGGTGTTAGCGTGACCCAAACAAGTGGTCTGCTCACCCCATTCACAGAGACGTATGCACGATCATGGATGCCATTGAGGGGCGAGATGAGAGGCGTCGGCTCGGGAACATTCCGTGGCAGTGTCGTTCGGTAAAGCATGAAGCCATAGTACTGCACACAGTTGACATAACACAAGCTCAGACCAGCTTTTACACTTAACCAAGACCAAGCTCCAAAACCCAAACCATATATCCACATCTACAGCCCTTTATGAGGAAATACAACATTGGCCTTTATTGGCTGGCTAAACACAACAGAAAACATGAATTGGCTATAATCACATTCATAACGTTTATGGACCGTATTAAGTTATTTTAAATATACCTGTTTAATCTCCTCAAACGTCAAAGGATATTGAGATCGTACTGGACCTTGGGGTGACAGCGTATCCAACAAGCTGCTGATGTTGCCAACCTATGAAAGAAAATAGGAACAGAGTAAGAAGGGTTGTATGGCCAAGAAATCTTGCAAATGAATAAGGTTTTGCACACCTTCTGAAGTGTAACAAAGCCATAAGCGAACTTTGGGGTGGCTGGTGGCATGGGACCAACTGGAATGTCTCGAAACTGAAAACAAACACATATTATTAATACAATAGTATGGATGTCTGTTTTGTTATTCAGTAGATGCTGGTTACAGATACTAGCTGGTCACCTAGCGGTTGAGCATTATGAACAAAACTGTCTATAAAAAAACCAAAGAAAATTCTAAGTTTCTTTTGAGTCCACTAACTATAAGCAACTTTGCAGTTACATGTCAACTACCTGGCTTTAGAGTAATAGTAGACAGTCTGCTTAATATCTGCTAACACTTCATTTTGATGGTCCCTTTTTGATACTACTCACTATAAGTATCTTTGCAAGGATGTCAACTAACCCTAACCTGACTAATACTCTAATAAGAGTTGACATTTACTGTCGTTGCCAATTCAAGTTAGCTGACATGTAGTTACATAGTTATTTATAGTTAGTAGAATGTCTAAAGTGGACTATCGAAATCAAGAGTAAATAGTAATGTTATTTTTAATGTCCAGCAAAAACTGCTTCATCATTTTTTCCTGCATCTGAATAACATACAAGAGTCCTTTCTACTGTCACAAAGTAATACACCACCATTCAGAGATTTAAATAAGACTTGTTTCAGAAGAAATTAATACTTTTATTCAGAAAGGATGCATTAAATTGATCAAAAGAAAAATTAATGACATTTGTAATGTTATAAAATATTTATATTTAAAAAAGGCTGTTCTTTGAACTCTCTATTCATCATGTTTCCACAACATTATGAAGCAGCACAACTGTTTTCAACATCGATAATAATAAATGTTTCTTGAGCACCAAATCAGCATATTAGTATAATTTCTGAAGGATCATGTGACACTGAAGACTGGAGCAAGGATGCTGAAAATTCAGCTTTGCATAACAGGAAAATAAAACTACATTTTAAAATATATTTAAATAGAAAACAGATATTTTAAATGATAATATTTCACAAAATTACTGTTTTTACTGATTTTTTTGATCAAAATCTTAGTCAGTATAAGAGACTTCTTTCAAAAACAAAACAAAACAAAAAAAAACTTACTGACCTGGAACTTCTGAACAGTAATACAGTCATAAGTCCAGCAATACCAACTGTAAATTGGATATTGCCATACATGTGCATTCAGAGTTAATGTATGCATGTTCTTACATTCTTAATGACATCTCTGATGGCAAGCAGTTTGTCAGTGGGGTCTCCTGCCTCTGATAAAGGTGCATTGTAATCATAACTGGTCACCACAGACCGAAACCTGCTATCATGATCCGCTCCTATGAATGATAACATTCACACATTAAGATGTCAAGGATATGGGAACAAGTATACTGAGATAGCAGATTTACCATTCCAGTAACCAAAGTTTGTTCCTCCCTCAAACATGTACCTGTGATTAGAAGAAAACTCTTTATCTAAGTTGGATTATCAGAGGTACAGCCATTTTTAATATAAAAAACTAGTTATTTTTAATTGATAACATCTAATGAATCAAATGGCTTTGCACTCATTATTGGATAGAAAACATTACTTACATGTTCACACTGGCACCCATGGACAACATCTCTCCCAGCATTTTGCTTACTTTGACAGTGTCCACAGAAGCATGTTTTTCACCCCAGTGATCCAACCAGCCTGTATAGAACTCAGAATTCACCTGAAATCATGACACATCAATTACTGCCAAATCCTACAGCTTGATAAATAGAGAGACAAACAATCACACAACATGAATGCTCTATCAAACATCTTACTTACCAGTGGGCCTTTAGGCTCAAACCTTCTTTGTCGAATGAAGGCAGCAGTAATGTTGGTATCTAAACGGGGGAAAAAATAAAATTTTGAACACTGGATATGCATACATGGATTAAAAATCTAGTTAAAATTTCTTAAAAACACTGCACAGGTCAGACACAAGAGACCTCAGTTGACTTTACCTGTGCCAAAGTCTATAGTGGCGTACAAGCCCTCAAGTGTGCCACAGATCATCTCTTTATCCGTATTCCCATCCGTAGTAAAGAGAATGACGTCCTCCCCCAGGAACAAACGGAACAGAGTGTGAAGATGCCGCATGTAGTTGTAATCACAGGCGAAGTAGCTGCCATATTCATTCTCCACCTGATAAGGGGAAAAAAGCACAAAATATTCACACCTGAAAAGCCATAGACATACTTGTCTATACATTGTAAAGCACTGTTTACACATCAACACCAAACATAATTACTATGTATGGGCTCTCAGTCCTACAAAACTGTAATAAGTTCTTTGTTATTATTGCATACTCAGTAAATATTATTTTACATTTTTTTCTGGGTGGAGCAGCATAGTGGTTAAATATCTCAGCTGGTAACAAACCAATTGTAGGTTCTAACCCAGCTGTCAACAATGTGTCCTTGAGAACGTCTTATCGGGTTCAACTAGGGGGACTGACCCACTCATCTGAGGACACTGCATTGGACAGATGTGTCTGGTAATGCTTGTATACTTACTAAATGTTAGCACTATATTGTACCTGCACACTGATAATATTTCCTCCATTCTGATAAAGCCACGGCCTCATCTTAGTGAGCAGCTCAGCCAACCACTCACTTGCTGGCTTCAAATACTCTGAAACAGACAAACACTACCATTAAAGACCGATCTGGCCTATGTGAAGTCATGCCTCATGCAGACGTAACATTTACCTGTGTCAGCTGAACGAAGGATAATGTTTGGCTTTTGTAGCAACCAGGCAGGCAAACCACCCTATCGGACAGATAAGAACCCACAATTTATTCACAAAATAACAATCACAAGGCTGTCTTTTGTGTTGTAACCAGAACTAATTCTTAATAGAATCATGAATCAAATTCTCATTCAAAATTATAAAAAAAAATAAAAATAAAAATCTATCATTATTTACTCATGTATATGTTTAATCAAATGTATTAATTCGATTAGAATATAATCATTGAATAGAATGTACATGCTGCTCTTTTCCATATAATAAAAAGTGAATGGTGACCAGGGTCTGTCAAAGTCCAAAAATGACCAAAAACCATATGATTTATGCACTATTGTCAAAGTTTTCTTAAGGCTAGAATACACTACACAACTTTTGCACCGATCTTTGCCCCAATTTACAGTCTGGAGGAACTGAGACTAGTAGCCAAAAGTTACACACAGTCTAGATTTTTGGCAGTCAGAGTTGACATATTTCACATAAAACTGTGGGACACAGACTTAAAGACTGGATGATTATGAATTCATCCAGTCAGAGGACATTAAAACATTGGACATTTTGATGATTTTCAGAACACATATTTGGTTTCATTTTTCATGTTTCGGCATGAGTGTGTGTGTTCGGAACGATATGAAAGTCTACGAGTGAGTGATCCTCAGTCATTAAGTGTATGATGCACAGTTTTTCCCTGTGTAACCAAAGTCAACAAGTATATGATGTCTATAGTGTTTTGAAATCTGTTCAGATTTTAAAACTTGTATAAGTGTATATATTACAGCCTTTAAGCAATAAGATATTTTAATCAAAATGATTTTCTAATCACACTTTTTCCTGATTTATTCACTTAATTTGAAGTATTTCCTAACACAACCCTATTGTATGACTTAAGGAGACAAGTCATATAAACTATGCTTCTTTTGGAGTCGCCACTGATTTTGATTTAATGGGAAAAAAGCAGCATGAACATTCTACTAAAGAGCTTATATTGTGTTCTATGGAAGAAAGAAAGACATAGGTTTGGAATGCTATAAGGGTGATCACAAGATAACGTATAATCTTGGGTGAACTATTCCTTTAAAAACACACTCCCTGAAAAGTCAAATTCTCATAATCACATGCAGCGATACACAACACCCACTGGCCTATTTTAAAATATCACATTTCAAAAATATTCAAATTTAGCAACATGAGGAAGTAACAGTCACCATTTCCCATTCTGCACAGATGTACGGCCCTGGTCGCAGGATGACTAACAGCCCTGTCTGATTGGCCAGGTTCAAGAAGTACTCAAGATCTCTGTCTCCTGCAAAGTTGAACACCCCCTGCACAGTCTCGTGGAAGTTCCATGGCACATACCTGCATGAAAGCAAGCAAAATATTTTTGGCAAGATGTGTAACATAAGTGTGTACACAGGGTTTGCACTGTTTCTCTGTTCCACGTACACCTGAATCGCATTGAGTCCAGTCATGTACATCTTGAGCAGCCTGTCCTTCCAATATTCCCGAGGAATGCGGGAGTAGTGGATGCTTCCTGAGATGTACTGAAATGGTTTTCCATCCTTTTGGAAGCAGTTGTTCTTGTAGTCGATGGAAAATGAGCGTGAATCTGCCTTAAAACAGAAATGTCATCTAGTTAAAAATGTGCAGGGTGTTGTGGGTGCATAAGTATCCACAAACTATTCTATTTAACTATTCTCATTTTGATAGAGATTGCATTTACAATGAGCATAATTACAAAATAACAATAATAATACAAATCCAAATTCACTATATACTTCTTAATGACTTTACATTGGCTTAAAATCACAATTTGATATTGAATTGAAGTTTCTATGACCATGGGAACCCGAATACAATGTCGGGTTAGTAAAAACGAATTAATAACATTGTGTAGAGGTGAAAGTCGTGTACTTTGAATCAGGTACTTACCAACACAAAAATGACTGGCAACAAGCACAGACTTAATAAAACGAAAGTCATTTGTGACTTCATCTCTAAATCAAACGGATAAGACGCAGTAACACTCTTCCGTTTGACATTATGATAGCAGCGCGTGACTGTAACGTGTCAGGAAATAATATTACAACTGCACAAACTTTTCTGTTATGTCATTTTGCATAAAGCGGTCCACTTTCTCTGTTCAATAGCTTTGCAGCGTTTCTTCTCTTTGAACATGACGGTCATGTGATTGTATTCTGTTTAGCCATGGGTCCTAAAGTCCACGATTCAGTGACTCCTTTTCATCAGTAATAAACCAGATTGTTAACTTGTTTTACTGTTTTGCGCTGCTAGTGAAGTGCATTAAAAATAAATAAATAAATGATATGGCTAAACAGATGGTCGAACCTATGCAATATAGCCACAAATGCACACCTGTAAAAAAACAGTAGCTCAGTGAACAAAACTTGGTGGAAGAGTTGTTTATTATAATTAATATTTTAAATAAATGTAATATCATATTGCTGTTGCTGCCCTTTCCTAAAAGCTATACAGTTTTTCTGTTGTGCCAAAAACAGACCAGCCTGACCACCCTTACCAAAAAGTAGTATACTTCAAGTTTATTTTAGTAAGTATACTTAAGTAAAGTTCAAGTATATTTTTTAAGTATACTTAATGTAGTAAGTATACAAATATCAGTATACTAGTAGTATAATTGTAAGTGTACTATTTCAATATTCCTTGGGACTAAATTGGCCCACTTTCTAGTATACAAAAGTATACTTTTAAGTATACTTTAAGTGTAACAGTAGTAAACTTACAACAATATTTTTTAGCTTGTACTGCAACTATACTAAAAGTGAACTTATATGAATACTGATAGTTTTCTAATTAAATACTTGTAGTAGCATTTTTAGTACACTTTGAAGTATGGTCTTAGTAAACTACTAGTTTAGTAATTTTATACTGCAAGTATACTCGTAAGTTTTCTTTAAGTGAACTTTACATCATACTTTAAGTATACTACTATATCCTCATATCAAAAACCAGTGTTTTAATTACCATGTTGTGTTTTAAAAATATATATTTTTTTACAAACAATAAAAGCATCTCAGGACTGAGTTTCTTAGATAATGAATTACCTTGGATGTGCACTTTTGATTGTACATAGTTAAATGTCTTATTAACAGAGCTTCAATGGTTCGCCTCAGACACTCAGAGGCGCTACAGGATAGAAGACTGATGTTGTATTCGTTCATGTGCTCTTTAGCGCCCTCTAATGAGAGCCTGCTGACTCTAAACTTCCTATAGTCAGCAATCCCACATTTATGTTCTGTGAAATCTATCTCAAATGTAATACTAATGCTAATTTATGTTATATATGTGGTATTAGCACGTTATCAATGTAACTGTCACTAGAGTGACTTCTCCAGTGAATGGAAAAAAGGTTTCCATAGATTATACAAATGCAAATTTTTTTTTACAAACAATAAAAGCATCTCAGGACTGAGTTTCTTAGATAATGAATTACCTTGGATGTGCACTTTTGATTGTACATAGTTAAATGTCTTATAAACAGAGCTTCAATGGTTCGCCTCAGACACTCAGAGGCGCTACAGGATAGAAGACTGATGTTGCATTCGTTCATGTGCTCTTTAGCGCCCTCTAATGAGAGCCTGCTGACTCTAAACTTCCTATAGTCAGCAAAATATTCCAGATTCTAGAACTCTGAAGACAGCTGTCAAATGTGACTCTGGACCACAAAACAAGTCATAAGGGTACATTTTTTTGAAACAGAGATTTATACAGCTGAATAAATTAGCTTTCCATTGATGTATGATTTGTTAGGATAGGACAATATTTGGCCGAGATACAACTATTTGAAAATCTGGAATCTGAGGGTGCAAAATAATCAAAATATTGAGAAAATCACCTTTAAAGTTGTCCAAATGAAGTTCTTAGCCATGTGTATTACTATTCAAAATTAAGTTTTGATATATTCACGGTAGGAAATGTACAAAATATCTTAATGGAACATGATCTTTACTTAATATCCTAATGATTTTTGGCATTAAAAAAAAATCGATAATTTTGACCCATACAATGTATTGTTGGCTATTGCTACAAATATACCCATGCTACTTATGACAGATGTTGTGGTCCAGGGTCACATATGCCTGTATTAATCAGAATTTGGGTTTGTGTAAGACCTTATTCTGGATATCTACTTTAGTCGAACATGTATTTATATCTGCAAATGAAGGTTATTCTGTGTGACATAAAATAATTGGCATGTGTTTGTTTATTTGGATTATGCTGCCTTGTGAAAAAGAAGTACACTTTAGCACACTTTTAGTACTTATTACAGAAAACTTACAATTTTCTCAAGTGTGAACTGAATGCATTGTTTTCATTCACTTATTTGCATGTTATTTGTAATTAAATGAACATTTATTGTTGTTGAAATTTATATTAAAAGATATGAGATGATGTTTGGAGTGCATTTTGACCCACTAAAGTTTCATAATTCTATTGTTTTTGAAATATGGTTAAAGTGCAGAATGTACTGACAAGCAATTATGGTGAACTAAAATATACTTTAATGTAATTTTTATTGAAACTTGTATGTAACGTATTTAAATATGTGTAGTTACACTTTTGTAATGATGAGGTTGCATTAATGTAATATCAAATAACAAACAGTGATTGAATTTGCAGCATAATGATGACACTTATCACACATCTTCTAAATTAACAATAATCTATATCTTAACTTTGTTGGGTGTTAAGGCTGCCACATTTGCAGCATTTCGTTTGGTAAGATGATACTCAGTTTTGACAGTTTTATCTTCAGCAGGGGACTATTAGCTCTCTGTAGGGAAAGCATCCCTCAGGCACTAATTAAACCAACCATTACTCACCTCCCTTCACTTGCATCTAAATAAACGTATTATTTATTAATACTTTTAGTGCATATGACAGACTGGGAGAGGCTGAGATCACATTCTCTGTGTGTCATTATGGCTCTGTTTGTCTAAGCAGTGTTGATTAATGTGTAGAGCATAAATGAGTCAGTCTCTGAGGTCTTGTGAGATGATTTGGCCGTGAGTCAGGTCCTCTCGCTGTCAGGATACAGAAATACATATCCTGTAAAGGGGTGCATGGTAATCCTAGTAATTAGGATGGCTTTGGATTAATACAATTAATGCTGGGTTTGTAACTTTATTATTGTGGCCTAAATAACGGAATGGTGTTTTGTACTTTTTAAACCTGGGTCAAAATGTGAGCTTTTGCTTCCAATTTCAGAATCTTTTCAGAATCCACTTATGCTTTGGGAATAAACCAAAATGCTCTCTCGCATGGGGAGGTCAGTTTTTCAAATATTGAAAAAGATTTGCCTTGAAGATTACAGGAAGTGTTTCAATGAATATCTGTACACTTTGAACATTGATGACAAGTCATTTTTGCCTATTTTTGAGACATATCAACACGCTGCGCAAACATGTCACTAAAGGGCCATAGTATTTTGATTCATGTTCTTTTCTTTGTTGATCCTTGTTTCTTTTGCTCAGTTTGTGTCCATACATGCACACAAAGCACTCCTTTAATTACTCGCTAAACACAGCTGTATTTCCAGGGCTTTTCCGGAAAAGGCCTCTCTTTATTTGAGGATTTGCTTGAGTCAGAGCTCTCCTGAATGTTCAGACAGGCCGTCTATGGTGATATGCTTCAGAAGGGACTCCACCTGTTTTGTTTGTGAAAACAGTAAACTCATCTTATGTAATAGTTTATCTTATTCTTTGGAAAAGATATATTCATGGCTATTTTATTTGTCTTGAGAATACACAATTACTATTTTTGTAATAAACTGTTCGTTAAAAATGTAGATGTTATACATCTTGTTTAACATTTCTAAAATGTAATAATGAATTATAGTTTTGTTGTTTACAGATTAACACAACTATTTCCTTTTTGAGGAAAAAAAGCCATTTTAAAACGTCAAATTGTGAAATGTCAGCTCTGATTAATTAGTCTATTCTGACTGTGTTCTTTACAACATAAACCAAATATTTCCATGCTGACTCCCTGAGAGAATCATGTCAGCGACCCCCAGCAGTCTTGGGAATCGTAAAATCAGACAAACTCCTCCAGATTTCTCAACAGTAAACATTTTTGCCATTTTAGTGACCAAAGTTAATAGGACCTGATGAATCACATATATCTTCACCATGTGGCATCAGTTTTACACACGGCATGTGCCATGGATCATGTTACACTGCATTAACACATCGATAAATGTCTCTAAATTCTTCCCATTGACTATTTAAGGTTATCTTTCCTGTGACTACTCATAAACACAACATTGATGTTACGTATCCGGTCCATGAACTTCCATCTGCTAGCCATCAGAGGTCACCCTTTCCATTTTCATTGACTCTCGCACTACACCCTGTTGCATATCACCCCGGACTACATATCCCATCATTCATTGCACTGATTGCACACAGCACTGATTGCACACAGCTGTTTCACTGATTGCACACAGCACTGATTGCACACAGTTGTTTCATATCACTCACTCCCTATTTAACACTCACTCTTATCCCTTCCCTCTGCCGAGTATTGTTTAGCATTTATCGCTCACCTAGGGATAGCTACATTACGGAGCCTGCGCTATCTTTTCCCAGTATTTCTTAGTCTTGCCTGTTTTTCCCGTGTTTTGATTCTCGCTTGTGTATTTCGGATTACCCCCTGTCGTCTTGCCATTTGGACTCTGTTTCCCCTGACTGGATTATTGCTGTGTACCGGAATTATCTCTCTTTGCCTTGCCCTGTTGGATATTGTTCACCGTCGATCGACCCACGCCCGTTTACTGGACTGCTCTTACGTTTTGCCCGTACTATATCTGTTCGCTGGTGTTTCGACCCTGCCTGTGTTTGTTTCCACGTCTTTTAAATAAAAGCTTGCACATGGATCCGCATGTCTCACGTCTTGTCAGCCCCGTAACAATTGAAGGGTTTTGAACACAAATCATTTTTTAACCCTGATATCTGGGTGCTCAGTAGATTGCCATAATGAGTCATAAGTTTTGCATGTTGAAAATTGTGTCTAACTGTCTGCTTGTTTTGAAGAATGAGGAATGGTATGTTACTATATTCCACAATATAGTCCCTCCAGTGGCTTCTGGAGAGTGGAGAAGAGTTTTTTTTCTTCTTCGATCATTCTGTAACTGTAGAAACCGACTGTTATACTGCTAAACAA